GGGGTAGTTTGAGTGCTCTTTGGGGTCAGTCTGAACATTTTTTGCGTGGCAGTTCGAGCGTTTTTAGGGGGCAGTTTGAATATTTTTGTGGGGCAGTTTGAGCACTTTTCGGGGTCAAGTTTGAATGTTTTTGGGGGGGCTGTTTGAGCATTTTTGGGGGAAAGTTTGATCATTTTTTGGGAGGCAGTTTGAGCGGTTTTTGGGGGGTAGTTTGAGGGCTCTTTGAGGTCAGTCTGAGCATTTTTTTGGGGTGCACCTGGAGCACTCTTTTGGGGCAGTTTGAGCACTCTGGAGAGCAGTTTAGCATTTTTTGCGTGGCAGTTTGAGCGTTTTTTTTGGGGGGGAAGTTTGAGTGCTCTTTTGGGGCAGTTTGAGCTCTCTTTGGGGAGCATTTTGAACATATTTTGGGGGCAGTTTGAGCAATTTTGGGGGCAATTTGAGCGTTTTTTGGGGGGAACAGTGAGCACTCTTTTGGGGCAGTTTGAGCATTTTTTGGGGGCAGTTTGAATGTTCTTTGGGGGGCAGTTTGAGCAGTTTTGGGAGGCATTTTGAACATATTTTTGGGACAATTTGAACTGTCTTGTGGGGCAGTTTGAGCACCCTTTGGGGACAGTTTGAGTGCTCTTTGGGGAGCAGTTTAGCCTTTTTTGCATGGCATTTTGAGCATTTTTTGGGGAGCAGGTTGAGCACTTTTTGGGGGCAGTTTGATCGTTTTTTTGAGGGGCAGTTTGAGTGCTTTTTGGGGGCCACTTTGAGGCTCTTGGGGGAGCAGTTTGAGCGCTCTTTTGGGGCAGTTTGAGCGTTTTTTGGGGTAGTTTGAGTGCTCTTTCGGTAGCAGTTTAGCCTTTTTTTTGCATGGCATTTGGAACAAACATTTTTTGGGGAGCAGGTTGAGCACTTTTTGGGGGCAGTTTGAGCGTTTTTTTGGGGGCAGTTTGAGCACTCTTTAGGGGCAGTTTGAGAGTTTTTTGGGGAGCAGTTTGAGCATTTTTGTGGGGCAATTTGAAGGTTTCTTGTGGGCAGTTTGAGTGCTCTTTGGGGCCCACTTTGAGTGCTTTTGGGGGAGCAATTTGAGCGTTTTTTGGGGGCAGTTTGAGTGCTCTTTGCGGAGCAGTTTAGCCTTTTTTTTGCATGGCATTTTGAGCACTTTTTGGGGGCAGTTTGATCTTTTTTTGGGGGGCAGTTTCAGTGCTCTTTGGGGTCCACTTTGAGTGCTCTTGGGGGACCAGTTTGAGCACCCTTTGGGGGCAGTTTGAGCGTTTTTGGGGGGCAATTTGAAGGTTTCTTGTGGGCAGTTTGAGTGCTCTTTGGGGGCCACTTTGAGTGCTTTTGGGGGAGCAGTCTGACCACCCTTTGGGGAG